TTGTCTTACTTTATATAACTAAAAAAATAATTAATAGTATAGAATAAGAGCAATCAGAAAAAAAGATTAACATTAACAAACAAACTAAAAATATAGTTATAGAAGAACCTATAACAGGACAGAGACAAGATAAAGAAAGAGAAATTCAATGACAGTCAATCAAAGTAGATAGAAACTAAGAAGAATTATTTAAGATAATACAAAAAAGAAAAACAAAAAAGAAAAAGATAGTGAAAAAGAAGTACAAGATAGCACTAAAAATCTATTAAAAGAAATAAGTATAAAGGTAAGTCAGTTGAATAATAATTAAGAAAGAAAAAATATGTCTATTCAAAAAAAAATATAGAAAAAAAAAAGAAGACACAGAAATGAAAATTGAAAAAAATTAATATAGTTAGAAAATCTCTAAAAAAGAACATATAAGCCCTAAGCAAAAAAAAATTGTAACTAAAACAATAACTTATTTACCAATATACCAACACACAATATCTCTGAAAAAATAAAAAAAAAATCTGAAATTTATTAAATAGTTATTAAAAAATAATATATAAGTTAAAGATATTAGAAAAATCTTTAAAGGAAAAAACCTATAGATAGAAATAGATTTTGACTATGAATTTAGCAAAAGTAAAGCAATATAACAAAAAAGCAAAAAACTAAATGATTAGTATAGAATAATATCAGAAGAAAGAGAAGACAATATGAGAAAACAATATTAATATAATAAAAAACAACAGAAAAGAAAAAATAATAAATTAAGATCCAAAGAAGAAAAACCTAAATGAAAAGAGATTGAAACCAAGACAAATAAAAACCAATATAGAATAAATAAGGAATCAGAAAACATAAATTATCTAATGATCTAGGACTTACCAACAGATATAAATAAAAAAAGAATTAGAATATATATGCAGAAGATTTAGAAAAACCTATATAGTAAGAATTAAAAAAGCAAAATACAAAGTCTTAGTAGTAGTACAAATAGAAAGAATGCATGAAAACATTCTGTGTTATACCAGTAAATAATAATAAATTAGTATGAGTAGCCAAAGGAATAGAGGATCATGAAGCAAGAAAAAAACAATATATAACAAAACTGACAGAATTACTAGAAAGCACCTACTACTACAAAGCTTGAAAAGCAAAGCAGTAATAATTTTTTTATTTATACTAGTATTGATTTTAAAACACTTAAGAGCAACCATTAAATCACAATCTTACCACTCACACTTAAAAACATTTCCAAAGCCTCCGAAGCCAATCATTATGAGATCTGTGAATTTATTATATTCAAGATTATCGATATGTCTCTCAGAAATAGCTTTTCCAAGCCATTCTTCTGGCGCGTTTGCCATGCCTTTGTATGCTGAAAAATATAGCTTGGTGCTGAGAAAAAGGGTCCAAATTAACAAATAAAAAAAAAAGTTTTGGGGAAAATTGGTTTTATCTAAAATTATAAGAAAATACAAATTTTAAAGAGTTATACTGTAAAATTTTATAATATAACAGTATTTGTTCTTTAAATAAAAAATGTTGCTGAGCTAATTTTTGATTAGCTAAATTCAAAACAAAAAATTGTTTTGAAAAATCGTCAATTTTCTCCTAGGCCACATATACGTGCATATGTACGTACGTACATATCCTTTATACTTACTGGTTACTGTACGTAATACTGCTATGTGACTTGCTGCTACGCGACACAACATTTAAATAATGATGTGTGACCCTAGAAAGTCATGCTTATCTCAAGGTTCTGAAGTTGTTTTGATCTGAGCCACTGATCCAAAAAGTATTTACGAACCCGAGGAAAACTTTGCGAAGGGTGAAAAGAAAATTCGAATTCACGTGAATGTTATTAATTTAAGTATTTAAAATATGTTATCCGATTCGTGAGTCAATAACGTAGTGGTTACGTTCCCGGTCACCAATTTCAAGATCTTCGGTTCGAAGGGCTTAACTGGATTAGGATCACGATTTCGTATAACCACGATAGTTGACGTAATATAAAATTCGGTAGTACGACTATTCGAAATGAATTGGGCGGGTTGTGAAGAAACGAAAATTCTACGGACAGAGCTTAGGGACAGAACAAAATCACGTGAATAGTTATTTATTGGTTAGGGTAAGAGGAATTTTAATAATATCACGTGAGTTTGTTCTGTCCAGTTCTGTCCCTAAGCTCTGTCCGTAGAATTTCCGTAAAGAAAGTAGTACGGCAGCTTAGGGGGTCAGCTGTGTGAAATCATAGAAAGGCAGACGGGTGATGTGGTAGTAAAATGTAGATCCTAAAATTCTAGTCACCGAAGGAAAACATATATATTTTTATATAGGCTATTTTTAAATGTGTATGTTTTCATTTGGCGACACTTAAATAATATACCAGCATATCCATAACTGCAGAACTAGGAAACTACCCAAATTTTATATATCAGAGGGAGGTGGCTACCTTTATCCTGAAAATGTCTGCATAATCATAATGAATTAACTGAGAGCTTTTTTTCGAGGATCAGGCAGTTCATACAATTAGCAAAAAGAGTCAATTAATAAATAAATAAAAAGATCTGGCCTATTCGAATGCAAGAATAATAAAGATTCAGTGTATATAATGAAAATGTGTTAATTTAGTTGTAGAATAACGATATTATATACTTAGTTTAAGGGTAGGGTGTATATAGCTCATTTTTTATATAACCTAGGTGGTCCATTAGATTTTTATATAGTAAATTAAAATATGTTATTAATAAAACTTTTTATTTTTTAATAAATTTTATTAAAATCCAATAATATATCGATTTAAATAAGTTATTTATTATGTTAAAAATTTATAAGATATTTAATATAAAAAAATTATATTTGTATATATCTTATGTTTTCTTTAACTACACAAAAGAGTCAACATTAATTGGTTAATTTCTGAAAAACTATAAAAAATTTTTAATATGTAATAAATTTCTATATTTAATCTTTAAAAATTCATATATTAATGAGTTTTAACCTAATTTTAATAAATTTACTACTATAGAATTACAAGAACCTACTTTTACGACTTTATATAGAAGTTCAAAAAATATTTAATTGTAAAAAGTTTCATAGTTAAGGGTTCAAGTTTTATAGCTTAGTTGTTAAACTTCTGTTTCTTTATAAACAAGATTAACAGTTTGAGTTTGGTTGAAGGTAAATACTTTATAACCAAAAATTGGAATCTATAATCAAATGTAAAACCTTATAAAAGTCTAAATGAAGGTATATATTAAAATTAAGAAATTCCCAAAAAGAAATCAGTATAGCAAAGTGCAAACATTACTATAGTAAATAATGTGAAAAGTGTTATCAATATTTATAGAAAAGATTGATCTTTCTTAATACAAAATTATTTCTAATATAAGAAACCTAAAATAGACGTAGTATAAGATTTATTTTCATTTCAGTAAAAAATTTATTTTGAGCATAAATTATTTCTAAGGTCCAATAATCAAAAAATTAAGCTTGTTTCAGTATTATAGAAAAAATATTGAAAATCAGAACCTTTAAACAATGAACCTATAGATTGGTTCAGATATAAAAATTAGTAGGAAATCTGCAAGTAGAACTTTTAAATAGACAATATACATGTGACTAATTGTAGTCTTGTCAATATGCAAAATATAATATTGTGCTCTCTCTAATCTAGATAGAAACTAATAAAACACTTAATAAAAACCACAAGACCAAAGAAGTTTCTAAAAAGATAATAAATTATGTAATTGAAATTACAAAAAAATATACCATTAAGTTTATATATAATTTTAACATATTACATCCTACCCTTAAGCAATTGTTTTTTAGATTATTTTTAAATGTAATATTTAAAATTCTTTTCTTTAACTCAGGTACAATTGCATAGTCTTTATTATTGTATTAATACTATAATATACATTGAATTGAACAATAAACATATTATTTTCCAACTCAGAATTAAAAATCACAATTGATTTTTAAAATTCAATAAAATTACTCTTATGCATAAACAAATAAAAAGTATGGAAAGAATCAAGTCAAATAGATTCAAAATATAGATTCAGATTCCTGATTTGGATTAGCATGTTCTATTCGATTCACTTCGATTAGATTTTTGAAACTATCAATATAATAATTTGCATTATTTTTTTATAGGCTATTTCTAACAAATTAAACAAATTGTATCCTACACAGAATATAATTGAAAGTCTGATGACAGATTTTCCCTTGACGGCACACATATTATGACCCTTATTTTTATCTATATCTTTTGTAAGTCATTTACGATTTTTACATCTTATAAGTAGCTTAGAAATCGGATTATTTTTTAAAAAAGTTTGTACTGTTAAGGTACTTCTAGATTGTGGATCTTTTTGCTTATTTTTGCACGGTAACTGTTGGCACTTCTTCAAAGAGTGATAGTTTTTTATTTTCATTCACTTAGATAATACCTTATCACAATTGGTGAAATTAGTGAAAATTATGTTAATTTAATTAGCATCTCAAGGCAACCTAAATATTCTAGGTAAATATCGAGTCGGTGCCAGAACGGTTCTGCAGAATATTATCTACGTATAGATAATTGTCTAGAACGAAGCGACAGACCCTCACTTCTACGCCCTCTATAGTAAAAATATCAAAAACGTAGTTTTGGTATTTTCCGTTTGTAACGCCCCTGAAAATTTTGATCTTCGACATATGTACATAATAAGACTTTTCAGGGGCTGGGGCGAGCTCTAGATTTATACCGGTTTCCGGCCGGTTCCTAGTATTATAAGCATTTTTATCCATCTATCGTTATCTATCGCTATGTACGTATGTACATATTATATATTAATATTAGGAACATTGATACCGATACACACAGGGTGCATACGTGCATGCATTGATTGAGCTTATACGTACTACGTAAGTTGTTCCACAAACTTTAAGTACGAAGCATACATTGTTATGTCAAAAGTTTTATTACATGAAAATCAATAACTCTTTCTTCTAGACTAATAATGGTATTAACAATCACGTAGGTTATTATTTCCAAACGTATAGTGTGTCTTATTTATCTTTTAATTTACATTATTTGATAAATTTTAGTAACTGGTGGTCTGGTTATATCCCAAAGCGAATTATAATTATCTTTCTATGTATTTCTGCTATTATTATTAGTTATGCTGGTAAATCCAATGTTAAATCTTCATCTTTTTTAAAAACTTGGAAAATTAATTAACTATTTATTTCATAAAAGATCGTTCAAATATGGCAATTGCCATAGTTTATATGACTAAGGAATTCAATTGGAGTCATAGTACACAAGGTTACATATCATCATCATTTTATTTTGGATATATAACAACTCAGATTATAGGAGGTGTGCTTACTGATAAATTTGGTGGTAGGAGAGTATTAGCCATATGTGAGTAATATTCTAAGAAATATAATGTTTAAAAAAAACATTTCGAGTTTGGTTATTCCTAATCCATTTTTTTATAGCTGCCGTAACTTGGACACTCTTTACTTTACTTACTCCAATTGCTGCTAGAATAAACATATACTGTCTTATATTATGCAGGATTTGTTTAGGAATTGGTGAAGGTCCAACTTATCCATGCGTCCATTCTTTAATTTCAAAATGGTTTCCACCTGAAGAACGAACTAGAGTTGTTTCGGCAGTAACTGTTTCAACTTTTATCGGTATGGCAATCGCCATGCCAATTTCAAATTTATTAGGTTCAAGTCAGTTTGGCTGGGAAAGTATCTTTTGGGTATTTGCAATTGTTGGTTCCTTTTGGTCTGTTATTTGGTATCTTTATGGAAAAAGTGATCCTAGAGATTATTCAGGAATCAGCAAAGATGAATTAGATTGGATTTTAAAAAATAAATCGCCTATTAGTTCTGAAAATAATTTCGAAAATTATCAGATTATTATTGACAATAATCAAAGAATTCCTGCAAACGAAAATGATATGTTACTACCAAAGAATCAAATATCATCAGGGTCATTTTATGTACATAAAGTTCCTTGGAAATTAATATTTTCTCGTCGTGAAGTGTGGGCAATTTTGCTTTGTCAATCTTTTAGTTCCTGGAGTTTTTTTATTTTGCTCAATTGGTTACCAATATTTTATTATGAATATTTTCATGTAGACATCCATTTAATTGGACTTTATACTGGTTAGAAATTTGGATATTAATATTATTAAAATTATTATTCTATATTTGCTTTTATATTTACTTTTATATTTATAAATTTCAAATTTTTTTTTTTAGCTTTATCTTACTTATCCTACATCATAATGGGATTTATAGGCGGTTATATCTGTGATTATGCAATTAATAAATTAAAAATTCGTGTTATAATTGTACGAAAATCTTCCAATATAATTGGAACCCTTGGAATTACAACATCTCTATTATTGGTAAGCGCGAATCAAATGTAAAATTTTTGTTTTATTAGTTTATTTATTTTTTTGGTGTATAAATATAATTTACAGATACCTTATTTGGCAGAAACTTCTGTTGAAGGATTATTTATGATAACAGCTGGATTTGCATTATATTCATTCCAAGCCGCGAGTTTTTTGGTATCACAGGTAATTAATTAAATTAATTAATTATCATTATTATTTTAACTATTTATTTGTTAGCTATAAATTAAACTCTTGTTAATTATCATTATAGCTTGATATTGCACCAAATTATGCGGGCGTATTATGTGGCTTAGGAATTACTTGTGGGATGGTTCCAGCATTTTTTGGTATAGCATTAACAGGTTGGATATTAGAAGTTACCGATAATGATTGGAATATTATTTGGCGTGTATGTTCTTTGTTTAATTTTATTGGATCTGCATTTTATTTATTATTGGCTGGTAGTGAAGTAGTAATTTATTGATGTAATAGATATTTTTCTTATATGTTTTACTATAGTTCTTTCTTAAGATCATATACATAGCCTGGAATATATATATATGTATAGTATTTTTATTTATTAACAAGGTTTAAGGATACATTGATCTTATTAGGATGTAATAAAAAATGGTTTATAAATTTGTTATAATTTGATTAAATCAAAGTTAAACTGTAATTGATATATCTAAAAATTATAACTTACCTTTCATAGCTTAATTAATAATATTTGTATGATAATTGATTCCTTATAATTTTTTTTATATTGTAGAAATTTAAATTCCTTATTCTTTCACTGTTACCGATATACAGTTCTTTCAGGTTAATAAAATGACCAAACATAGACAGTCTCAGAATTACTTAGTTCACTTAAGTTGAGCTTATTTTACCAAGAAAGTAATTAATTCTCAATATTGTATAATAAATAATTCATTGATAAAATTATTAACCCAAATCGATTGCCACAAATTTTGGTTTGAATTGGTGATTCAATTTACATTTGATTTGTCAAAAAAGTACATTTAATTATAACGTTAAACCTAATACGTACCTAACAGTAAATCGGGTCTCTAGATATCAAATAATAAATAATCCGGATAACCAAACGGATATTTTAATATGTTCTTCTTTCCACAATCTTTTATTGACTTCAAATTTTTCGTTAAATCTTTTATTGCATAAATTGCGTTACTGAAATACATTATGATTTATGGTTTTTCGGCAAATAATATAACAACTACCGTATCTTGTAAATGATTTTCCAGCATAAAGAAGTATACTGTAAATGCGCAGTCTCACAAAAACCGAAAAGGGCATATACCATCGAATATGAATATAAAACAATTAAAACCAATTATTTTAATTTAAATAAAACGGGCCTTAAATTTTATTTATATACTTAATAAACATAAAATATAAATGTAAATGTATAAACACATTATTATTAACCTATTGGTATAAAGTAATAATACATAACTTCGTAACAAAAAATAAAATACAAGTTATTTTTGAAAAAAATATCCAATTATTTTATTATTCAGTTAGTTCACCCACTTTTTTTAATAATACCTTTGCATTTGGATTTCCAAGAGAAGTGGCCAATTTCAACTTTCTAATAGCAAGTTCACGATCAGGTTTAACATGAAACTTTGCATTTCCATTTAAATACATTTCACCTAGGTGATATAATGCGAACTGATTACAATTATCAGCAGCCAATGTAAGATATTTAATAAACTCTTCTCTTGTTGCAGGAGTATTTGATTCTGAAAGTGCAAAAGCATAACGTAGTTGAGCACCAGGAACATTATTATCAGCAGCTTCTTTAAAAAGCTTAATTGCTTCTTCTTTGTTTTTATCGACATAATAACCTTCCCATAGATAATATCCTTTCCAATATTTTGCAATAGAATTTCCTAGATTTGCATGCTCTACAAAACATTCCCAAGCTTGTTTTCTCATTTTCATTCTTTCTTCCTGAGGACCCTCTTTATTTATTGATTGATGAATTTTTAGTCCTTCGCTAAGAGGAGTGGGCACTTTTATTTCAGCATCACAAAAGTTAAATTTAAGTTCAGACACTGTCTGATTGATGAAATCCATATCAATTTCATCGTTTCCATAAAATTTAGATCCATCGAAGTCTATTTCGTTATTATTACATATTTTGGGTAAGTCACCAGGTTTAACATATTTTTCAGCCAAGTTTTCTAGATGCACATATAATTCACCAACACCAATTCGATGTCTAGGATTATCGTGCCAAGCTATGAAAATTGAAAAATTAAATAATAATAAATATACAGTAAAGTAATTTAAAAACGTACTGTTAAAGATATAAACATACTTGATTTCATAATATATTCAAATTTTTTTTGAATTTCACTTATTTTTTGATCCTTTGTAGGTGGAAAAGAAATTTTTTCTCTATAACCATTCGTAACAAGATCTTTGATTCTTTCAAAGGTTTCAATGGTGTGATATGGTTCCTTTTCATAAGTGAGTTCCCAAAGTAACATTCCAAAGCTTTTTTAACATAAAATATAAAAATAAATTAATTTATATACTGTATTGGTATAATAAATTATATTTTATGTACAATTTTTTTTTGCTGTATAAAATTACCTGAAAATTTCACATCTTGTAGTATAAGGATCACCTTTTATTTTTTCAGGGGCCATCCAACGTACAACTTTTTTAAGATCAGGAATTTCACTAGTTGTTTCATTTTGTTTTCGAGCTACATCAAAATTTGCAATCTTAGGACTATAACCCGCAACCATCTAAACATTTTTATGAATTAATTTGTGAATTGATTAAATTTAAATTAAATATGCTTATACTCATGAAGAAAGCTTTAATTCGTACCATAATATTTTCACCACGAATGTCATGATGTAAGATCTCTACAGATTCAAGAAAAGCAAGACCACGACATACATCACGAGCTATAGATACTTTGGTTACCCAGTCAATATCATTTGCAGTATAAACATCCTTTAAAGAGCCTAATGCTGCCCATTGTAAAACTTGAACTTCTTTTCCTTCAAGACGAGACAAACCATAAAACTTGAGAATATATCTACATTCACTTAATCTTTCCAAGATTGCTAATTGTTTTTGAATTTTTTGTTTCTTTTTTTGATCATTTGTCTCTTTAATATTAAATTCTTTACAAGCAACCTCTTCAAATTTATACATTCTTTTACACAAATATGAAGAATTTCCTACTCTAGAAAATTCATCGGGACTCAAAGAACAAGGAGTTAAGTCTTTTGGTTCTATATAAACCGGCTTAAAAACTGAAGTGTCCTGGGACTTCATGATATTGACCTCTGAAATAACTTCAGAATTGAACCCAGAAATTTTCAATATCTGTAGATATAATTATTTAATATTAGTGAGTTCACATATAAAATATATAAAATAATGTACAAGTAAAAACAGAAATCATCATAATAATGTTACCTCTTTTATTTCATTTAAACTTAATTTTAATTCGTCGGTATCCAACCTTCGCTGTTCTTCAAAATCAATTGCCATACTAAAGTTTAAATGTTTCATAGTGGTATCAAACTCTTCAGCTAGAGATTCAAACTTTTCTTTAATCTCTGTTGCTCTAAATGTTTTATTAATAGATTTCATATTTGAAAATTCATCTACAAATCTTTTAATCTTTTCCAATGTAGTTTTAAATTTTTGAAGAGAATCATAATATTCTTGTTCTTGAAATTTTCCTTCATATTGTTTTTTGATTAATTTTAATCTTTTTATTTCAAATTCTGCCATTAACACACGATCAACTAATCTGGAACACATATTTTTATTGAATTCGGATTTTTCATAAATTCCAACTATTTCATTAATCAGTTTTGATATAGCATCAAGTACCGGAATGAACGATGATGCTGCATTGGCAATCTTTGCTACATGTTTAAGCCCTTCTACTGCAGCTTCAGACATTTTCAATTATTCACTTATGTACGTATATAAGTATGAAAAAGAAAAAAATCCAAAGCAAATCGTTACTGTTATGCGTTATTTGTGGTTGTGTTACATTTTGTTTTTTTTTTGTTTTGGACACAAAACATGCAAATATTGTATGACAATTTTTTCTTTATTTTGGCTTGATCATCCTTATGTTATGTACGTACCAGATTTGTTTTATTGAAACTTGTGTACTGTATATTCCTATGATAATCCATACATTATATATGATTTTAAACGGTCTATTCAGATTAAAAGAGCTGAAAATTTTGCGATTGGATCATTAAACTCTTTTTTTGCTAATACTAAAAGCTTTTTAAAATGCTTTCTCAATAAAAGTGATGATATTGTACTTCATAGTGAATATATTTTTGGTACAACCATGAATATACTAGTACAAGCTTCAGTACAAGTATGATCTCCAAAAGTTTACGATAGTGACAATATATTAAAAAAAGATTATAAAAAAAATTTATAACAAATTGCCAAATCAACGATTCATTCTTCTAGGTGTCCTGCCTTTAAGGTTTTGTAAGTTCTTTGATGCAGCCTTCACTGCCATTTTTATTTGACTACTGTGCATGCGTACATATAAAAAATTGCAAAATCAAATCCCTTTTTTTGATGCCCGTTAAAGCCAAGTGTGTTTAATATATTGATTATAAATTGATTGAAACTATTTCGACTTATTATAATGTAAACCGTGGAAATTCGACTCAAACCTAAATAATTGAAAAAGTTTAGGCTTAGCAATAGTGAATCATAGGCAATACATACATAATGAATAAATTATATTTTTGATATTAATATAAACCATCAACCTAATTGTAAAGATGTTATAGTTTGGTTTGGTTATTATTCACAAAACCAAGTTTGATTATCAAACTGTAAACTAAACTAAGGTTTATAAACCAGCTTATTAAACCGGTTATAATTTGATTTGAGTGCGCGAGAGTGAAAACCTGGAAACCGATTTAATGATTTACTATGATCGGTTTCCAGTTTTCACTCTCACACACTCATTTGTAAAATTGGTTTTTCTTTCTAACAAATAGAAATTTATAATTTAGAATTTTTAGAACTATATACATCTATATAATATTTATATATATGCTCTTTAAAGTTTTATTAAATCAATTATCATTGGTTATTAAAATCATTAAAAAGTTTTTAATTGCTAAGCCTGTTTGTCATATTATTTTGTCTGTTATCTGCATTTGAAAATGTTCGGTATATTAAGAATAAGGTAGTTGCGCAGCACGTGATACTACATAGGCCAGTACGATCGGCATCTGTAAGTTTATGCACACTATGTGCGTATATACTCAGGATTAGTTGCTAGATACATATTGGGTTTTTCAAAATAAGTGCAAAACTTGTCTAAGCGGGGCATATCGAAAATGCACATAGGTATTCTGTGCAAGGTTATGTCGATCATGTGGCACAGGACAAACGTTCGTCTAAAAAAATTGCTCATTGCTCAAAAATCAGCATAAGAAACCAGATTTTGTGCTCTAACAAAAAGGGTTTGTTGACCAATTTACTATGTTAACTACCCCACTCTAGAGTCTAACTTTGACCTTAACCATAACTTAACGAATTTTAAGAATTTAGTCTTCTCCGTCAACCTTGTACACATTTACAATATACCTAAACAGGTGTGGATTACGTATACTCAATGGGTACTGGAACTTTATTGTCATAATTTATATCAATTTTCTATTAAACATTTAGTTGATATATGAGTGATTTCAAGGGTATAATCATTTAGGTAATAATAATAATTGATAACGATAATCATAATATTTCACATTCTTTTCTTTTTATTTGAAACAATTAACATTAGATTTGATTTGATCCCTCTTATTTCCATAAGTACAATATTTATTTATTAATAAAAAATTTAAAATAAACTACTCACCTCTCATTTAATTCTTTTTGGTAAACTCCGTGCCAAAGGCACGGTTATAAGCTAGTAATAATAAAGGTTGTATTGTTGCAATTTTTTGAAAGTTACAAGGCATTTTTAAACAATTAGATGTCCAGAATTGTTGGCTCCACTTAACTTGTCAGTAAACCACTCTTCGTACTTCGTAATCTGTTTCTGGTACACAGTATATATATTTTATTAGGAAATTGATCATCGGGCGTTACTTTTGTCCCCCCAATGTATGTAAATAGTGTTATTGAGTTCGATTATAAATGTGTGCACGTACAAAATCACTAATTCTACTATTCTTTTGGAGTGAGTTTTAACTCAATGAATTATTTAGAATTGCCAACTCCATACAATGATATTGCCTTACCGAATGCATGGGAGATTGAAAATAAATCGTCATTTATTAACTTAGATTCAAATGGACTTAAAGTGAATTATAAAGGTAAACGAATAATGAAACAGATTAACATCTTAAATTGTTGACACCCTAAATTATAAATGTAAATTATTAATAGTTCAATTAAATTATAAAAAAATTTTAAAGATCCTGATGATAATAAAGCTATTATAATTCGAGCAAATCGTCCAATTCCTTTAGAGTGTGTGATATTTTACTTCGAAATTAAAATTATAAATAAAGGGGAAAATGGGTATATTAATTATTATTTCATTTCATACCACCTTTTTTTTATGATATTTTTTTATAAATCTTTAATTCTATTTATTAATAGAATGATTGGAGTTGGATATTGTACAAAACAAAATTATAAAGAAATTGATAAAGAAATGGACGATTCAAATGTAAAAACAAATTATATATATAATATGCTCATGCCAGGTAATCCATTAGAAGATTTGGTTCCATCTTCTTACCATTACAGATTAATAACAATATTATACATAATATCCCTTAGGACAAGAATATAAGGAAAATGTATCATGGGGGTGTGGTTACCATGGTGACGATGGATATTCATTTTGTTCTGGAAGTAGTGAGCTGTATTATTCATTATATCCATTTGGATACACTACTGGTAACATTATTGGATGTTATATAAACTTAATAAAGAAGATAGTATTTTATACTAAAAATGGTGTCAACTTAGGTAATTAACATTTTAAAAAATTAATATTATATTTTACAAAGCAAAGCATGTAATATTTATAAGAAATTTTAAGGAATTGCGTGTCATCTTCCTGATGATTTCAATGACACTGTATATCCATATGTTGGATTTAGATCACAAGGCGCATCTATAGAAGTAAATTTCGGCCATAAAACATTCAATTATTCTGGTAATTTTTTCTAAGAGATCTAATCGTCTTAGCTTATTTAAAATTTGGCTTTGCTTATATGTTTATTTCAATTAACAGCGATGACAATCGAAAACATTAGTAAAAAATTAAATAATGTATTAATATTGAAACATCAAGAAAATGTTCATTTTGTTATGAGTGGAAATGAAAATGTACTTGTTAATTTAACAGATGAATTAACAAAATCATCAGAAAAAAAGCAAAATAGTCTAGGACAAATATTTTTCCTTATGGGTGAATATGATAAAGCACTTGATGCTTTAACTAAACAGATAGAAATTGAACCAGATAATATAATAGCATTAAGAAATCGAGGAGAAATTTATTATATAATAAAAAAATATAATGAATCAATTGCTGACTTAGAGAATTTATTAAAAATTAGCCCTAATGACGAGTGGGCAGAAAAAACTCGTAAATTAGTTAATCAGTTGTAAGTGAAATGCGCATTTGTAGATTTAAGTTTCAAAATTCATTAACTAATCCAAATATTTTGCTTGTCAATACAGTATGTAAGTTATTTGTTGAATGTTTTTTTATAGCATATCACGTACAAGTAAATACCCTAACGAACGTCGATTCTAACTAATCCAAATATCTTGTTTGTTAATACAGTTCGTAAGTTATTTATAGAATTTTTAATACCCTAACGAACATCAATTCTAACTAACCCAAATATTTTGTTTGTCAATACAGCCGGTAAGTCCTTTTTATTTTTCTAGCATATCACATACAAGTAAATACCTTAACAAACATTAATTCTAACTAATTTAAATATTTTGTTTGTAAATACAGTTCGTAAGTTCTTTATAGAATAATTTTTTTGTACAGCATATCACATACAAGTAAATATCCTAATGAATGTTAATTCTAACTAACCCAAATATTTTGTTTATCAATACAGCGAGAAAGTTCTTTTTTTTCCAGCATATCACATACAAGTAAATACCTTAATGAACGTTAATTCTAACTATTCCAAATATTTTGTTTATCAATACAGCAAGTAAGCTCTTTATAGAATATTTTTTATAGCATATCATGTACAAGTAAATACCCTAATGAATGTTAATTATAACTAATCCAAATATTTTGTTTATCAATACAGCATGTAAGTTCTTTTTTTTTATTACAGCACATCATGTATAAGTAAATGTTTTAATGAACATTAATTCTAACTAAGATAGAAAAAAAACAGAAGATTATCAATTACTTAAAATAATTTTAGAATAGTTAAATTTTCTTATAAAACTTATAAGAAAATACAAAGAACATTGAAAAATACAAAAAAATAGAACAAAATTAGACATATAGTGATACAAATTTTGTTAAAATTAGAACAAAAAACTGTTTAATATTTATGATAAACAGAATAACTATAAATGAAACACAAAAGAAAACATAAATTTAGTCATTAAAAATGTGAAACAACAAGAGTTAAACAAATTACAAATTAAATATACACAAGATTACTTGGCACAGAAGCACAAAGAAATTTTAGTAAATATAACAAGACCAAAGAAATGCTTTCCTTAATTTTATCTACAACTTGGAAACAAAACTATCTTAACAATAATGAATAATAATCCTATTCTCTTGGATCTTCTAAATACTATATCTATCTTTCCAACTATTATACCTTATTCAACCAATAAATCTCAAGACTTACAAGAAAGAATAATTACAACATACAGAAAACTTCTCAGGACTAACAGTTCCCAAA